TTTTTTTTGTATTTATATATATATATACAGATGGGTGACAAAATAATACGAACACCTGTGAAAAAGTGTGACTTATTTCACACCTGCAACACAACCGCGCCACCTGCAACAGAAGTCTGCCACCTAGTGAGAGTGAAGAGGAAGCTATCAGTCTCTTAACATTAGTCACCTGTGTTGCATGAGTTTATCTAACTAGCTTTTATGAAGTGAAATGTCTGACCTGTCAGAATTCCAAAGAGGGATGATTGCTGGGGCGCGTTTAAGTGGAGTATCGGTGACAGAAACAGCAAACCTTTTGGGGTTTGCAAGAAGTATTGTATCAGCCGTTATGACAGCATACATGAAAGAAGGTAAGACGAAGTCTTCAAAGCAAAACAGTGGCCGAAAGTCAAAACTTGATGATAGGGATAGGCGTGTCTTGCAGCGAGTAGTAGCTCGAAAACACAAGCAATCATTATCTGAGATAACATCAGACATAAACAGTCATCTTCAGGACCCCGTTTCAACAAGAACTGTTCAAAGAGAACTTCATGCAGCGAACATTTATGGGAGAGAGGCAATTTGTAAACCCTTGGTGACAGCAACCAATGCTTTCAAGCGCCGTCAGTGGTGTAGAAGTCACAAAAGGCTGGTCCCACAGCAGTGGCAGCAGGTAATATGGTCTATGAATGAATCATTCTTCATCTTATTTCAGATCACCGGACGCGTTTATGTCTGGAGATCACCCAAAGAAGCGTTTGATCCTGAATGCCTCTTACCAACTGTGAGACATGGAGGTGGCTCCATTATGGTTTGGGGTGCGATATCTTGGCGTGATCTTGGGCCACTAGTAGTCTGCATGGGAGAATCAAATCTAACGACTATCTAAGCGTTCTAGCGGATCATGTTCATCCTTTTGTACAGACTGTATTCCCTGGAGAGCAACCGATTTTTCAAAACGACAACGCCCCTATCCACACCGCTAGGTGCGTTCAAACATGGTTCGAAGAGCATGACAATGAAGTTGAGCATCTCGCCTGGCCCCCTCAGTCTCCGGACTTAAATATTATTGAGCATTTGTGACAATATTGGGAGTCTAAACTTCGTTCCCGATTCCTACCTTCATCAAATCTTTTGGAATTAGAGGCCGCTCTGCAAGAGGAATGGCTTAATAGTCCTTTAAACGTTATCCATGACCTTTATGCATCGATCCCACGTCGTATTAAATCTGTAAATCAGTCAAAGGGTGGTCCAACTCCCTATTAATAAAGATTTTCTGATATTTCACAGGTGTTCGTATTATTTTGTCACCCATTTGTATATATATATAGAGAGAGAGGGAAAACTTGGGAAAAAATAATAAATATTTAAGAAAAAAGAAGAAGAAAAATTATAAAATAAAATTTTTTAAAAAATACTTATGAATTTTATTTAAAAAAAATTAAAAATCAAGAAGTCGGAAAACAAAATAATGAAAAATATAATCTCGTCATCAGCTCACACAATTATATCAGCAAAAAGGAATCTTCTCTAATATTTTATAAATATATCAATACACCTCAAAAAACAATTTAAACATAAATAAAAAATTAAAAAAACAAATGACAAGATTATATTTTTTTTCATTATTTTGTATTCCGACTTTTTAATTTTTTATTTTTTTTAAATAAAATTCTTAAATATTTTTTTAAATCTTTTCATAAAAAATCTTTTCATAATTTTTATTATTGTTTCCATGCCTTCTCTATATTTTTTAACATATTATATACATATATATATAAGTTATGCAATCAATTTCATGCATATTTTCTTAAAGTTACATCTAAATGTTTAAAATTTTCAATATACCAACTATACTATGTGATTACATCAATTTGTGATTAAATTAGTCTGATGGTCACAAAGTATTCAGAAAATTATACCTATTTGAGCAACTTGATCTTCAATTTCAATCAACTTCAATTGTAAAGAGCCTTTTTCTTCCTCAAGCTCTGCAACTCTTTGCTGAAGATTTAACATTTCTTCCGATTTACCCTTGCTCTAAAAAACAAAAATAAAATATATTAATTGTTTAATAAAGATTATATTACTAATATATGCAGAGTAACAATTATTTAAATATACTTATATAAATAAAACTAATGCAAATATTTAAAGTATGCAAGTAAAAATAAAAATACACAATATTAAATCTTAAAACATGGTATTTCATTAACTAGAGATATTTCAGAAATAAATAACAGTTCTTTTAGATTTTGCTTTTTAAAACTTCAACTTACATTTTTTAATTCATTTAATTCTCTCTCTAATTTCTTTNCAAAGTTTTCTGAAGCTCGGCACTATGCTTTTTCTCAACATCTAAATCTTTTTTCAATATTTCAATTTCACCTTTAAAATAAAAAAATAGGACATATTTAAAGCAAACTATAAAAATTACCCTCTGAAAACAGAACTTTAATTCTAAAGGATCAAATATAAAACTTAGTTCTTTACTTTTTTTCAACTAATTTCCTCAAAATAAGTTTTTTTTTAATAAGTCTAAAAAAATTTAAATGTAGAGGGAAAGAAATGCTTCAATAAATTTAAGGTAATCAAATTAATAGAAGTATCAAATTGTTAAAAAAAGATTTTAATTAAATTTAAATAAAATATTAAAAATATACCTTATTAGATTTGATATTAATAAGTGAATTAAATAGAGTGTAACCCAGTTAAGTTTAGCACTATGGAAAGTTGGACAACCCTGTTGAAATTGGCTATAGTATATATCTATAATGAAACACCAAATCGACAAAAACAATTGCCCTTCATAACTTGACCACCTGTCTAAATGGACTATCAAAATGGTGCAGAATAAGTGACCAACACATTATACATATTTGTGGGCACCTTTTACATCTAACACATTACACATTTTTGAGTTTTGATCTTTGGCTTTTATTTAAAGAGTACAATGTAAAAATGTTTAGTAATATTTTGAAAACACTTGAACACATTAACTAGTGTTGTAACAAAGGAAAAAAAAGATGTTATGCATTAAGGTGTTCTACAAAGCTCTTCATTTGCTTAATAAATAAATAAGGTACAAACATGGAGAGGTGAAAAATCTTTGTAAGTTGTCAAGTTTTGAAACAGTAATTTGATGATCCATTTACATAGATAATCAAATAATAAAGAAAAAATGATGCAACTGTTATCATTAAAATAGGATTCCTTGGGATTTTGGTTTGATTATAGATATCAAGACCAAAATCCTAAGAAAACAATGTAATACATAGAATTTAATTTATTATTCACCATTATTTAAAAAATTATTTGAGTTCAGTATAAAATGAGGATTGCACTACTTAGAAATTCTGATAATCATATTTTAATAACAGAAAAATTAAATGCAAAATTAGCAAATTATTAAATATTTGTAAGTCTATGCTTATATTTATTTCAATTTCTGTTGACTCATAATTCTAACAGACAATTTTTAAGAAAACACACATGAAAATATTTGTAACATTCAGGGGCCCCTAGGCATGAAAGAACAGAACCCTAAGCCCAGGTCGTCTGCGAAATCAGGCCCTGAAATGGAAAGCTATAAAAAATATATATATATATATATTATAGTCATTAAAAGAAGTTTAAAAAAAAAAACATTTTATAGTTAATACTTCCAATTAATAGTAGTCAAAAACACCAGGTGGATTAAAATGGGAATTTAAAAATGTAAAGGTAGTAAAAGGTACCAAAATAAGCATATTTCATAAAGGAATGAGTGAGAGAAGATGTCATGTTGAGCCAATAGAGAGCGTTCTTGCTTAAATTGAACACTGATCCATGCGCTGTTACGAAACTTGTATTGCTATTGGTGGTTCCTCTTTCAAGCAGCTATGGAAAACTAACTGATTGTAAATTATCAAAATTGTTTATTGTAATAGTCCAAAAAAAGTTTTTGCTTTGTTAATTTTCTTTTCCCCTTCTTGTGATTAATGTTATTTCCTACACAAAATCCCTTTATTTGGATCCCCTCTACAAACCTTTACATTTTTGTCATTTAGTTTTCAACCATCCTGTAAGTGTTATTAAAATGTACTATACCATATTATTACTTTAAAATAATAATAATTAAAGAATGTACCTTGGATTTCTTTGTTAAATTGTTCACACTGTTTGGAAGCACTTTCCTGAACATTGACAATTTTTTGTTGCAAATCAGCATTTTTAACAGACAATTCATACCTAGTAGATTCTAAATTTTTTACTGTAGCTTCACTTGTCTTTAATTTCAATTCCAATTCATTTATAACATTTTCTAAATCGTCGATCTTTTTTTGATGTTTTTCAAGTTGAATTTTCCAATCACTTTCGATCGAACTAAAATTTTGCTGCATGATTTTCATTTGATCACGAGTTTCATCAAGTTCAATTACAGTTGTTTGACCTTTTCGATTTAAATCTTCAGCCATTAACTACATAAATAAAAAGTCAAACAATTAGGACATTCAACAAACTTATAGTCTTGAATTTACTTAAGTAAACAATTAATTCCCTTTGTGCAAAGCTTTCAAATTGTTTTCAATTGAAAGTAGATTAAAAAAAAATGAGTACATCAATTTACTTTAATTTGCAAGTTTTCAAAACACATTAAAACTTCAATTTAATTAAACTTGCAATAAAAAATATTTTGAAAAGCTTATAAACTAATAATAAACTTAAGGATTAGTTTCATAAACAAAAATAAAAATTATTTAAAAAACATAAAAAATCAAATTAGTTTTTTTTATTGTTTAACAATTTATAATTAGAAACAAAACTAGCGAAGAATCAGAAACATTTCTCGCTTTCTATGATTTAGTTCTTTTCAAAGCAAAAGAAAGTGAATTTTTTGCAATATACGGTAATAAATTTTAAAAAATTAGACTTTTCACACAACAGAAGAGATAAAATTAGTTTAAAAAATAACAAAATATTCACAGAAAGAAATTTACAATATTATAGAAATTTAAAATAAGCATTTGAGCAATTATTTGACTAAAGTCACAGTTTTCCAAACATGAAATTAAATCATATAGTGTAAGGGTATAAAAGTAAACAATGTATAAAAGGAAAGACCACATCAGAAAAGAGCATAACTGCATCTTTATATTGGCAGGTCAAATCATTCTTCAATAACAAATGAATATTCTTTTAAAAAATAAAGAAACAAAATGGACATAACTAATACTTCGTTAAATAACTGCATTATAAAAAAAATCATGCCTGCCAAATTTCAAGAAAGTAAAAAACAGAAGATTTCACACATTAAGGGAAAAAATCATCATTTATCAAAAACAAGTGGAAAAATAAATGTACTTGCTTTAATAAAATCTTTAAAAACCAGCTTTGAAATCAATGTATATGAAAACAAAACAATGTCTTTGGATCTTAAAAAAAAAATATGCCATAACCAAATAGGAAAAAAAATTTGTCTAAGTTAGACATTTTTTAAAAAATAGAAAAAATATCGTAAAAAATGGATTATGTACATAAAATCATAAAAACAATATAATTTTAGTAAAAATTTATTTATAAAAATCATAAGTTTGCAGGCATGAAAAAGTATTTGAAAAAGTTTTTATTACTTTTCAAAACTGCATCAATGTAAGAATGAAATGAGAATAGATATCTATAGCCGATAAGACTAATATGTGCTACAAAATCAATCTGTCCTTAGGTATTAACTACTAATTAATAACTTCTGAAACACTAGATTCAAAGAGAAGAAAGACAAATAAAAAATGAAACATCAAAACAAAATATTTGAGGTTAACCAAAAAAATGAGGTTAGAAAATAAGAAGAAAAAAATTAACCCAGTCTGACATTTTTTTAAAAATAGGAAGAAAAAAATTATAAAAAATGGATTATGTGCATAAAATTGTAAAAATGATAAAATTTTCGTAAAAATTACAAAATAAAAATTGTATAAGTTGGTAGGAATGAAAAAATAATTAGGAAAGTTTTTCCTTCTTTCCAAAACTGCATGAATGTAAAATTGAAATGACAATATCTATAGCTGATATAACTAACATGCTCTAAAAAATTAGGGATGTATTGGCCTTTTTGTCAAATATTGGGTTGGCTGTTTTGCCAAATGTTCAACCAAATATTCGACAATGCATATTTGGGGGAAATTTTAATAGATTTAATAAAGAATAGTCTAAAATCATATTTTTTACAATACATTATT